CCCGCGGCGGCGGCGCCCACCGGAGCTGAGGGAGGCGGCGGCGACCGAGGCGAGGAGGCGCGGGGGCGGCTCGGGCTTGCGGGGGCCCGATCTGGGCCTCCCGGGCCACGGCGGCGGCGAGGTGGCGATGCCACGTGGCGGCGAGCCACTGGCTGCGGGCGGCGGCGGGCGGCGGGTCGGACACGTCCGGCGCGGCAGAGAGGGATTTAGGGTTTCGGGGAGAGGGAGAGATCCGAAATTTGGAATGGGGGTGTATATATAGGCATAGGAGGAGCGGTTTTCGGCCACGCGATCGTGATCGAACGCTTTAGGGCATGGAGCAGAGTTTGGTGGGTTTTTGGGCCAAATTGGAGGGGTGTTGGGCTGCAACCACACGAGGCCTTTTCGGTCCCTCGGTTAACCGTTGGAGTATCAAACGAAGTCCAAATGGTACGAAACTTGGCAGGCGGTCTACCGGTAGTAAACCAAGGCCGCTTGGCAAGTCTCGGTCCAATCCGGAAATGTTTAATCCCCATACACGAAAGAAAGCTAGAAATGGCCACCGGAGGAGAACGAAGCGCCGGAATGCAAATCGGACAACGGGGAAAATGCTCGAATGCATGAGACGAACACGTATGCAAATGCAATGCACATGATGACATGATATGAGATGCATGACAACGACAACAACACACGGAGACAAAACCCAAACCCGAGGAAATAAATATAACTTAACGCCGGAAACGGCAAGAGTTGGAGTACAAATTGGGAAAGTTACATCCGGGGTGTTACACTCGCCATCTCTCTGGAGCTGCCAACACGAGGCCTGAAGAGGGAAAGGAGACAACGGCCACGAGGGCGGGCACTACTCGACCAGTGGGAGGGAACAGCCTCCATCGCAAGAGCGAAGCTGACCGGACATGGCGACGAGGACTTGCTGGGCCCTACGGCCTGGTCGGGCCCACGTGGGCCCGGACAGTCCCTGTCACCGCGCTGCAACACGCCAACCAACGAAGTACTCGTCGCCGCCTCGCCACTGCCACCAAGAAGCGACGCCGTCGAGCGCCGTGCCACCGGCCCGACCCAACCCAGATGGGGCCCAAACGGGCCAAGATCTGGGCTCGGCGGGCGCCGCCAGCCAACAGCGTCACCGTGTCGCCCCACGACCAACGGCCGCGCCGCCGCATCGAGGGCCACCGTGGCATGCGGCATCGCCGCCGCCTTGCCACACCACAGCCAGCCACCACCGCCCGAGCAGGGCGGTCAACGCGCGAGGAAGGACAGGCCCGCCGTCGCCAGCCGCACCACGCGAGCAAGGCCTGGCGGCGCCCTCCGGCGGCGGCGGGAGGAGGGAGGGCGATGGAGGCGCTGGACGAGGAACGGGGAGAAGCCCCCAGTCGCCTTGCTCGGGGAGGCGGCGCGGGGGAGGGAGGCGGGACGGGGGCGCGAGTGAGCGGTAGTCGGCGGCGGCGGGAGGGAAGGGCGGCCGGCGGCCGGCGGCGGCAGGGGGGGAGTGGTGGGGAGGAACCCTAGCCCAGGAGCCATGAGAATGGAATAGGGAAGCGCATCTGACGCTTTCTAGCTTTATCAGTTATCGCACATTCTATTCCGTTCCGACCGCGACGCGGTGGATCATTTGGGAGAGGCGCCATCCAGGGTTTACTCTGTCCGAGCAAGTTGGCCATGGCAGATCCCTGACCGACTCCCAGCCAAGCACAGGGAATGTACTTTGATCCGACGTTTTGCCCTGTCACAAGTCCACATGTACCCTTTTGAAAAAGCAAGGATGCATCGCCGTCAATCAGGGTTTGAACCTGGTATGCACTGTTGCAATGCCAAGTCCATCTAAAGCAGCATTTGCCATTTATTTTTCCCTGAAAGCGAAGTCTGAATTGAGCTGAACACTTGTTCTTTCACATTATTAAGCTAATGTAATGATATGCATTCATCATTGACAGCTCCGGAAGCTGCAGGCTGGTCATTGGCCAGCCACTCCCTTTCATCTCGACAAGTATATTGATATTTGCTATTGTCGCGAGTCCTCTTGTTCTCAATTGCAACTCAGATTTCATTCGTGCACGCTACATGATTAAACATAAAAGATGCCCCATGCCGTTTTCAGCTCCATCCGTGGGTTGTTATGTTAATCTTTCGCTGGCGGGGGGTCTATGGATTATCTAGGCAGTTGGCAATCCTGACGTTGTTTTGCGCGAACTGCGCACGTCTCCGCTGATGGGGACGGTATTTTTCTTAAGCTACATCTCACCACAATGAGGTGAAGGCGCGTGAAATTTCATTGGCAACCTTTGGAATGCCACTGTGAGACTAACTTGGCAGAGCAATCAACTTCTAATAGAGATCTTGTAAATCTCCACATTCCAAATTAGGCTTCAAAAAGTTGGTTGAGCACAAGGAAATCATTTGCTCACATGTAATTTGAGGCAAACTTTTGGCATGGATCAACACTGGCCGCACGCATCAACATCACACGAGGACTATCAGAGACGGGTCCCTGTCCAAGGTATAGGGGTTGAACATATAATAGTTCTTGGTTGTTTTACTCATTTCCTTGGGAAAATAATAATTCGCTACAATCAGGCAGAGGGAATTTGTCAGTACTTAAGACTAGGGACTATTCACATTAATGAGTAACCATCACAGGTCTCGTCGCGTTAGTTCAAAAGTCGCTTGTGCGTTTTCAAAGTAAAAGGACAGGAACGGAGAAAGACCTCTCTTCATGCAAAATCTGGAGAACCGACTTCTTGTTCACGGTAGCGAGCAATCTCTATCTACATCATTTCATATACTGCGCTCTCCAGTCAACAGCAAAATCTGTGCCGTCTTCTTCGTCGTCGCTCGATGAGTCGCTGGCGCTGGAATCCGTGTCCATGCCGATGGGTTTGCTGTTCGCCTTAGCAGTCCGTGCGGCTTTTGACTCGGTGAGCTGTTTCTTCAGCATATCTACTCGCTGCCTGTACTCCCTGTGCACAGATAAATAATGCATGATGAGTTGACGACAGAAAATAAAAAAGAAAATCTTCACTTTGCTAAGCATGGGTATATGAACAGAACAATATGTAGAAAGGAACATACTCTTGCTCTAAGGTCAAGTACTCTTCCCTCTCAGCAGCAGCATCAATCTACAAGGCACGCGCACAAAATTCGCTAATATCAGCAGTGCACAACAATACGTGCAAGGTAATAATGTAGAGAGGTTAACCTAACCTCCTCTTCTTCGAGGCGGTCATCAACTTCCTGGAGGTCTTCCTGAATTTCCTTTTCAAATTCTTTGTATGCATCGCTGCGCAGAAGTTTAACATGTTTCAGATGAGAATATCAGTCACAGAAAAATTCAAGTCGAACTGAATACAGATCTTACGTAAAGATCCAAAGAAGCAACTTTTATTACAAACATAAGAGGAAAAAATGCATGGAAACAACAGAGGAAATGCAGAATTGCACAGACAAGACAACGCAAAAAACTAAGCATAAAAGCATTGTTTTTAGCAAAATGGCAGGAGTCCTACCCATCCATCCATTTAAAAACAGAAGAGTTTATGGTACAGAAGCTTTCCAACAGCAAGCACAAGAGCAGAAAACAATGATTATTGACCCTTCCAGACTCTACAGTTTTGTAACTTGACAGCACCTGTGCAAAAATGCAACATGGTTGTAGAAGTAACATGGCTTATTTAGGACCTCATTATTCTGTAACAGTAGAGTGAAGCTAGCTAAGGTCATAAAAGGCTCCTTACACATCCAAACAAAGGCCTATAAGGGTATGTTTGGATGGTGGCCAATACTCATGCTACCAATTTTTTAGTCCTGACCAAAAATTTGGTTTTGGTTTGATTGGTTACCATTGTTTTGGCATGTCAATGTCTCTTTGTCTAATCTAGTTCATTTTTCTTGCCAATGTCGGCCGTCTCATTGGCAACCAAAAGCTCAACCAAAATTTTGGCTAGCCAAATATTTGGTAGGGCTAGCTTGGACTAGAACCATACCTTAAATCCTAACAAAACTTCATTAAGTCAGATTAATTATTGTGGAAACAACAGGACTGCAAGAATAGCAATTCTTTTATGGAGAGGCAATACACTTGCAAGATCTTAGTGAAGAAACCTTACTTGATGTCAACTTTTGGAGGTTGAATACCGCGTGCGCGGAGATCCGCATCTTTGTTATCGAAGAATCCTTCGGGCAGAGCTTTTACTTGAGCAGTTTCCAGATTATTCGCCGCTTGAGACGATGCACTGGTTTCACTGGACTGTGTGTTACTGCTATCGAAGAAGCCATCTGGGACACCTTTCACCTGCACGGGATTGGGGTTGGTGGTATTGCCCGAAGTCCTATTGGGCTCCTTTGGAGCTGGAGCAGGAGTTGGAACTTCATCTTCATCTTCTTCTGCATAATCAAAAAAATTCCCTGGAAGAATTCCTTTCACGTCGGTACTGCTTTTATTCCCTTTATTGGGTGCTTGGTCCATCCTGACAGATGGTTTATTTGCACTTGCTTCTTTGGTTGCTGGTTGAGCATTAGCCACTTGATGACGTACAGACCTTCCCTCAGAACCAGTACCTACCCATCAAAGTTGTTATATTAAGGACTCAAGTCAACAAGACCTTCAGGTACATCACGACTGCTAAATGCACATTTTAGCTGCCACTACAACATAATACTGCTAGCAGGAATCTTCACAGAAAATACATAAAATGTTCACTATAGATGGAAGCTCTAGTGCTCTACAGAAAATAGAACAATATTGATAGTACTTACTATCCAGAAATTAGGATGTGTTCATGCAGCTTTACTAGTTCTAACATCATTCTTGCTTAAATGATACCCCCTCTGTCCCAAAATAAGTGTCTTAACTTCAGTACAACTTTGTACTAAAGTTAGTTGAAAGTTGGCGTCGCTTACTTTGGGACGGAGGGAGTGGCAATTTTGTAAGAAAAACGGTTATTAGGTATAGCCAGGAGGAATGTAAACTGTCATGTATGAAGGCTTTGACTGGATGGCCTCCATAGGCAAGCTTTTCCTTGCTCGTATGATAAAGGTTGCAATGCAAAGTGAGGTTTTTTTAGCACAAAAGCATACCTTGCTAAGCAAGGTTAGGTGGGTAATTGCTTGGTCTAGCAGGAACCAAATGTGCTCTATTATTACTGCTCTATACAACATGCTATCTGACTATCTTGGTGAGAATACAATCAATGGTAAGCATAACAGACAACCAGTGGCAGGCCAAAACAAGAAATTAGATGTGAGCAATTCCTTAGCCATGATACTGATAATTTACCTAGACTAACCAAACAAAGGAAGATGACACAGAGCAGAATACAATCAAACAAATGAAGTATAGACAAGGCTAACCAAGTTCAGTTTACACTATGAATCTTTAGCTTGTGGGGAGGAGGGAGGGGGGCGTTTTGGCATTCTCACCATCACTTTGCCTTTTCGTTCCCTGATTGTCAAAAAAATTGGCAGGCATCGGAGAGGATTTTGCTTTCTGAGGCTCAGCTGGTCGTTCATGACTGACATTATTGCCACGAGGAGCTGCAGCTGGTGTAACTTTAGCGGCTGCAGCGGCTTTTGCCTGGACCATAAATCGGAAAAAAAATTAACACAGCTCACAAAGAATGTACACAGACACCTTCACAGCAAATATACTCCAGTCAGATGGCTACAATACATAAATGAGATGAATCTTTTCATCAGGAAAAAAGCATGCAGCTTAACAGTAAGTAGCAAAACTATACTTGAAATGAACAGAAAAAAAATGAAACACCATGGTTATCAGCAAACCACGAAAAATGAGTTATTATTGATACCCAACATGTTTCTTCACCAGAGCTTTTCTATCAATAAACTGCATTGAAGTAAACCTTAGTGGTTGTCCAATTTGCTATGGGGTCATATATTCATATCAAGAATAACTACCAAACAACATGACAGCATACCCAGTAAAGCTGGAGACTGAGTGCTAACACTTTGAATTTCCATATGAAAACAGACCTAGACCGGCATAGAAATCCCCACATTCACGTTTCTGTCGTACATACAGTTCTCCTTATTCAGTAAACACTAACATGGCTTTATTACTCTGCTTACCTCATGATGTTTCCGTGAAACCTGGTGCGCAGGCCAAAGTGCTTCGGATTTCAACGTAACGTTGCAGACCCTACAGATGGGCTGATCATATTCATTATACCTGCAGAAGACAATGCAACCGGCTATTAGATACTGCTATTGCTTGATTATCATACAGATGAGCTGATCACACTCAACTGGTTCAAAATTCAAGTCACCCGGATTTAGCTAAGCAAATAAGCAATGGATAAGGGGGGTAATGAAAGGGAGCCAGAGTAACATACGACTTTACAAGGTTCGAATGCACAGAGAATTTGGCAGGAAACTGTAAGTCGGTACTTCCATGAAATCAAATTAGAACACTACAATGTTCCACCCTCTACTCGAGAGCAGGCACAGTAGCGAACCCGGTTTCACAGTGCGCACAACAGCACCAAACACCCAGTAATTTCAGGCCTACGCACCGAACCCCTGACGCCTGCGCCGGCCGCCCGCCCCCATCTTGCTAGCTAGGGTTACATCAGGCGAACGCGCGCCCCGGCCCAAACCATCACGGCCGTGGAAACCGAGTAGGCGGAAGGGATCCGGGCTCCCGAGGCAGCACTCTAGCAGGGAGGCGGGAGGGGAAGGGAGGGGACCTGACGAGCGAGGGGTCGATGCGCTTCTCCTGCTTCTCCTTGGCCTCGCGGAGCTTGGCGCGGAACAGGGCCTTCCTCTGATCCATGCGCGCCGCCGGAGGGGTAGGACCGGGAATCCAGGCGCCGAGGCTGTGGCGGTTTCGCCTCGCCTCTCTTCCTTCTAGAACCTTCTTAGCTCTCGCGACGGGGGGCGGCGTCAGACGTCGAGGTCCAGCGAGAGAGAGAGACGACGAGTCAGCACGGCGTCTGCTCGGATGGCAAATGGGCCCGAGGGGCCGAACTTGTGAGCCGCACAAGTGGGTAAAGCGACTGGCCACTGAGCGACGGACGGGCAGGCCGAGCGGACCGCAGAAAGGCCGGGGAGTTGGGCCTGCACAACTGGCTGGACAAGTTCCACGAAAAAATCTGGACGGCGCCATCCGGGAAATAAACTTGAGGTCGCTCTAAAAAAAACTTAGAGATCAACATCTGGCCATCTTGTTTGAAGCTTTGTTTCCAAGGTCATTGCCCGGTTAGCCTCTGCGACATTGTGCACAAGCTTGTTTCCAAGGTCATTGCCAATAGGTGAAAGTTCATCATGCGGGAGATCATATCAAATAATCAAAGTGCATTCCTATCGGTGAGGCTTATCTCATATAATATTGTGCTCGCTTACAAGATGCCCCGTCCTAAAACAAAAGAGCTCGAGTGGTGCGCGTTTCGCAGTCCTCACGTTTGACATAAGCAAAGCTTACGAGTCACGACTACGTCAAGTGGAGTTTGTTTGTTTTTTTGAAGAGGATTTTGTTGCGGTTAGGGTTCCAGAGTAACATTAGTGAGATTGACCTCCAAATGCATTAGATGTGTGACACATAAGTTCAAAGTGTACACACCATACACGGAGACGGTGGTCTCATGTCGGGGTCTTGGTCAAGGGGATCCAATATCCTCGTACATGTTCCTATTGTGTGCGGGGAGAGGTTATGTGCGTTACTTCATCGGGTGGAGGTTGCAGGACGATTGTGTGGGACTCAGATCACGCCTATGGCCCCTATGATAACCCACCTCTTGTTCGCGATGATTCACTCCTCTTATTTGAAGCTACAAAAATGGGGCAGCAAAGATCAATGAAATTTTATCAATAAATGAGTAGGTTCTGGGCAAGTGGCAAATCGAGATAAATCGTCCATTCTTTTGAGCGGGAACATACCGAATGATAACAAGCAGTCTACGGGTGCTCGCTTTACAGCAGGAAAATTCAGAAGGAAAGTATTTGGGGCTCAAAATGTATGTTGGGAGTTCAAAGAACAATGTTTTGGAATACCATAAGGAACTGTTATGGGCTCGGTTACAAGGGTGGATTGAATGTTTTCTCTCGATGAAAGGAAGAAGCTTCTTAAGGCCGTTGCACAAGCAATTCCCACCTACGTGATGGGATGTTTTGACCTCACAAAGAGTCTGTGTGAAGAGCCTGGTAACATGATTTGTGGTTATTGATGGTCGCAACAGGGTAAGGAGCATAAAATGCATTGAATATGGTGGGAGAAGATGAAAACTTGCAAAATCAGAGGCGGTTTTGGGCTCAAGGACTTGCACTCTTTCAACTCTTGTGATGCTACCGAGGTAGGCCCGACGTCTGTTGCAAACTCTAGAATTCTTATGTGGAAGTGTCTTGCAAACCAAGGTAAATGTTTTCTGGATGGTACCATTCTGGGAGCTACACCCACAATTGGTATGAAGTATTCCCTCCGTCCGGAAATACTTTATTGACACATAATGTGTTGTCTAGTCTCTTTCATCAGATCGGTCTTTTGATTGCATTGGTTAGAGCATGCACTTCTAACATGGTATCTATCGCAAGTCGATCCTAACCCTAGTCGCCGCCCTCGGGGCGGTCGGCCTCCATGACAGCCGCCGGGGGCCGCGCCGCCCGTACCTAGGGTTCGTCCGCCGGCCGTGTTGGCCGGCTGCCCTAGAGAGTCTTTTTCCCGAGCCCTTGCTTTGGGTTTTTTCGCTCTCTCGCCGGTCGTTTTGATCGGCGTTTTTTTTGGTTTTTCGATCTAATCTTGATCGGTTTGCGTCGCCCGCCGCCGTCGTCGACCCCCGTGTGCCTCTACTCCGACCCCGGCGCGACCAACTGGCCTCTCCTCCAACCCGGCGGCCACGCACGCCGAGGCGGCCCGTCCAGGTCAGCCGCCGTCCGCGCGTCGGTCCGCCCATTGCCCTGCGTCGGCCGTCACCGCCCTGCTCCTATCGTGACACCTGCATCGCCCCGACCCGGCAGCCTCGCGCCATGCGGCGGCCAATCATAGCCGTCGCTCGCACGTCGGCCCGTCCATCGATCCACATCACCCGCCTCCACCGCGTCTGCACGGCGGCCCGGCGGTCTACCTCGCCGGCATCGTCCTCGGCTGCATCGGGACGGCTACGTAGGCTGCCTCAACTCGGGCGTCGCTGCTCTGTTGGTCGCTCGGGCCTCATTGTCCGGGTGCCGGCGTTGCTTTGGTAGCCCGGGTGCTGGTGCTGACAAGCTCGTCCGCACGACGTCCCACGCCGGCTTCATCTCGGACTCCGCCGCCACCACGCCTCCACCGAGCAGCGTCCCCGACCTCGCGCGCGATCGGCTTGATCACCCGCTCGCCGCCGTGATCCGCCTCATCTACGCTGATACGTCTCCAACGTATCTATAATTTTTGATTGCTCCATGATATATTATCTACTATTTTGGACATTATTGGGCTTTATTATCCACTTTTATATTATTTTTGGGACTAGCCTATTAACCGGAGGCCCAGCCCAGAATTGCTATTTTTTTCCTGTTTTAGGGTTTCGAAGAAAAGGAATATCAAACGGAGTCTAAACGGAATGAAACCTTCGGGAACATGATTTTCTCAACGAACAAGACCCGGGAGACTTGGACCCTACGTCAAGACACAAAAGAGGAGGCCACGAGGTAGGGGCGCGCCTACCCCCCAGGTGCGCCCTCCACCCTCGTGGGCCCCCTGTTGCTCCACCGACGTACTCCTTCCTCCTATATATACCTACGTACCCCAAACGATCAGATACGGAGCCAAAACCCTAATTCCACCGCCACAACTTTCTGTATCCACGTGATCCCATCTTGGGGCCTGTTTCGGAGCTCCGCCGGAGGGGGCATCGATCACGGAGGGCTTGTACATCAACACCATAGCCCCTCCGATGATGTGTGAGTAGTTCACCTCAGACCTACGGGTCCATAGTTAGTAGCTAGATGGCTTCTTCTCTCTTTTTGGATATCAATACAATGTTCTCCCCCTCTCTTGTGGAGATCTATTCGATGTAATCTTCTTTTTGCGGTGTGTTTGTTGAGACCGATGAATTGTGGGTTTATGATCAAGTCTATCTATGAACTGATTTCTTTTATGTATGATTGGTTATCTTTGCAAGTCTCTTCGAATTATCAGTTTGGTTTGGCCTACTAGATTGATCTTTCTTGCAATGGGAGAAGTGCTTAGCTTTGGGTTCTGAAAGTGCTAGTGATCGACTAGAGGGGGGGTGAATAGGCGATTTTTATGAAAGTCTTCAAAACATGTAAGTTTCGAAGACAAACGATAGAAATAAACCTATTACCATGCAGCGGAAGGTAGACTATAGTAGGCAAACCATAGTCAAGTATTCAATGAAATGAAAGCACAATGACTAATAGCAGCTAGGCAGTAAGGATCAGTTAGGAAGATATTGTGAAGCCGATCAGAACAAGTAATCACTCAGTGAAGCCAAATGGTGTTGCAATCATACAATGACTTCACAAGGACCAACAATAAGTAAAGGGAAGGGAAGGACGAAACCGGTGACTCGTTGAAGACAATGATTTGTTGGGCCAGTTCCAGTTACTGTGACAACTGTATGTCTGGTTAGGGAGGCTAAGATTCAACTCAGAAGACCTCGTCTTCACCTTATTCCCCTTGAGCTAAGGACACCCAGTCCTCGCCCAATCACTCTGGTAAGTCTTCAAGGTAGACTTCCAAACCTTCACAGACTTCGTTCACCGGCGATCCACAATGACTCTTGGATGCTCAGAACGCGACGCCTAACCGGCTGGAGGATTCACAATCCTCAAGTGTAATAAGTCTTCAGATCACACAGACAAGAAGACTTAAGTGATGCCTAACACTCTTTGGCTCTGGGTGTTTTGGGCTTTATCCTCTCAAGGAATTCTCTCTCAAAGGCTTCGAGGTGGGTTGCTCTCAAACGACAAAAGCCGTACTCTAACTCTGAGTAGCCAATCGTTTATGGTTGTAGGGGGTGGGCTATTTATAGTCACTAGGCAACCCGACCTGATTTGTCCGAAATGACCCTGGGTCACTAAGGAACTGACACGTGTTCCAATGGTCACATTTCAAACACACACGATAACTTTACTTGGGCTACAAGCAAAGCTGACTTATCCAACTCTGGATAAGATTTGCTCTCATAGTCTTCACTCGAAGACATAGGATTTTGGTTAAGCATCACTTCAGTCATTCTGACTGGTTCTCTTGGACCCCACTTAATAGTACGGTGGTTCCTATGACTCAACAAAGAAAAATACAGAACGACGAAACTGCTAAGTCTTCGTGCTCCATAGTCTTCGCACGATGTCTTCTCTTGTCATAGTCTTCAATGTGAATGTCTTCACATACCACCTTTGACTTCAATGTCTTCATACATTTTTAGGGGTCATCTCTGGTAGGAAAACCGAATCAATGAGGGACTTCTACTTGTGTTATCCTGCAATTCTCACAAACACATTAGTCCCTCAACTAGGTTTGTCGTCAAAACTCCAAAACCAACTAGGGGTGGCACTAGATGCACTTAGAATCTCCCCCTTTTTGGTGATTGATGACAAACTAGTTGAAGTTTTCAACGGGGAATATAATATGTGAAATTGTAAAGGATAGAGAATTGTCTTCATAAGTTGCAAGGGCTCCCCCTGAAGATGTGCATATAAGTAATTTGCTTTTGGAATGCAAATGCACATGGCAGGTTGTACTTGTGGAGATCCTCTTCAACTTGTGATGACAATTCATCATGCATGAAAAGTATGTGAAGATAATGACATGCATAATGAAAAATGGACGTCCGCAAA